CTGGGAAAATTAAATCACAACCGCATACTAAGCTAACGCCCCAAAACACTTATCAAATAATTCAGTGGAACAGACGGGGAATAAAGACGAACCTAAATGAACTGCTTCTGCTAATAATAAACATTTCACCGGTAGCTTTTGGCCTTCAGGAAACATTCCTTAAACAAAATGACAAAATGATTATAAAAGAATACCATCAATACAACTGCGCACACGACACTGGGCTTCGGGCATCAGATGGTACATCCATACTTGTTGGGAATGATGTACCTTAGAGTAAAATAAATTTAACAACTACATGCGACTAGTGTTAAGGTGACTTTACACAGGCCAATAAACATCTGCTCAAAATATATCCCACCAAATAAACCAGTAAATGAAACTGAAATTCAGGAAATCATAAGACAACTTCCTGCTCCGTTTATGATACAAGGAGACTTTAACTGTCACAGTACTATATGGAACTATAAAGACACAAACCCAAAGGGAAGGACCTTAGAAAAGTAATTTACAACAACAATATGCATTTAAAATGACAAAACCCCGGCATAAATCCTTTTATTTTTCTAACAGCAATAGACTTATCCCTATGTGATCCATCAATTTATATGGTTTTCTCTTGGAAGGTTCTAGTGGACACGTGCGGTAGCGATCTCTTGTCAATCATCTTACCAAACTCAGAACATAATGAGAAAAATTATCTCTGTTGGAAATTAACCGGAGTAGACTAATGTGCTGAAAAACTAGTTGAAGGAAAGAGCTTCAAGGACTTCAAACATTTTACAGAAATTCTCATCTCTATAGCTAAAAAATGCATTCCAACAAATTCAGCAGCAGCAAAAAAAAAAAAAAAGAAAAAAAAAACGCAACAGACCTTGGTTGAATGATAAATGTAAAAAAAAAAATCAGAATGTTGAATTCTCTCAGAGCTGCTATTCTTACTCTGAGAGAATACAACATTCTCTAATTTCTAATTTGCTGCATTTAAGCAACTCCGAGCAAAAGCACGGAAAATAATTAAGGAAACTAAAAAAAGAATGCTAGAAAAACTACGTCAGCAAACTCAGTTCTGCTACAAAAACAAAATTACGTCTGGAATATGATAAAGAAAATAGCAGCCAAATACCAAACAAACACTGTAAAACACCTTTCGGTAAATAATCCTAAAATAACCAGTAAAAAGGTATCGCTGACCAACTAGCCAAAACAATCTCTAAAAATTCTTCTGCCAAGAAGCGAACAATTTCTAATGCTCGAACAAAAAAGCGGAAAAACAAAAACTAAACTTTAAATCAAATAATTCCGAGAGCTACAACCTACCATTCTCTCTGGAGGAACTAAGTAAACCTTTAAGGGAAATCTACAATATAGTTGAGCTCAGATGATATCCACTACGAATTCATAAAACAGTTACCCAACAAATCATTGCAACTGTTATTAAGAATGTATAATAACATATGGACAAATGGCAACTTTCCAGAAATTTGGAAACATTCATTCATCACCCCTATCTTAAAACCTGGAAAGAATGACTACAGACCGATAGGATTAACCAGTTGCCTATGTAAAACTATGGAGAGAATGACCAATAATAATATTCTAATAATATTTTGACATATATGCATACTATAGGAAGACAACCTCAATAAAATACACAAATGGACCACGGACAATAGTATCACATTTCCAAAACGAAAATCAAATGCCTACATTTCTGCAAATTACGCATCGACCCCTGTTTCAAATTAGACGGAGCAAAAATCCCACTAGTGGAACATCACAAGTTCCCAGGCGGCATCATCTTTCATTCTCAATGTAAAATATTTAGAAGTAAAATCTTTGTGTTGTAGCCCATACTGAATGGGGAGCAGATTGACAAACATTAATTGAAATATACAGATCGCTACCTTGCTCAAAATTGAATGGTGCTAGTTTCATATATGGAGCATCCAGAAAATCATACCTCAAAATACTCAACGCAACCTCTCATCAAGGCCTCAAACTGGTACTTGGAGCTTTGAGGACATCCCCAGTGGACAGCTTATACACAGAAGCCAACGAAAAACCTCCACATTTAAGGCACACTAAATTGGCACTACAGTAATATGTCAAATTAAATCATGCCCAACGAACCCAGCTTACGGCACTACCTTTAAACCTAATTACTGTGATCTACTCCGGCTAAAAGATAATACGATACAACGCCAAAGGATGAAATCGATTGCTGAAGAATTATGGGCCTCACTCTCAAATATAGAAGAAATGACTGCAGCCAGTATTCCCCTATGGACAATCAAGCAACCTGTTATATCTGAACATACCTATTCTATTATTAATAGACTCTCCCACATATAATAAGTAGTAGTAGTAGCGGTCGCCAGTTGGGCTCAGTGGTGTTGAGTGAGTCAGTCGATGTCGGACATTGAAGTATCAACCATCACAACTAGATTGCTGCGTCATTTACTCTTATTTCAAGTTCCTAACGTTTTATACGTCGAACATAATTTAGAACGACTTATTGAAATACAAGACTCCACTGTGAAAACTACTCTACAACACAACCCCAGGTTTTGCTAAAATTAAGTAAACTCTCTAAACAAAAAACGCACCCACTCACATTCCAGAGCAGATTTCTTCAAGGCATATTGGAAAACTACCATAAACATACACTCATCTATACAGATGGGTCAATGTGTATGCCATAATATTTCTTCAAACAGTGGGTCTCTGCCAAAAAATATAAAACAAAAAAGAATGCCAATAAAAAATAATTTCTCTAGAAAATATATTAGAAACGCTACTATAAGTGGTAAGTTAGACTAATTTTTGACGAAGCATAAGTGCTAGTAAGAGTTAGCAATTCAAAACGTATGAAACATTTGGAGCAAACTATGCAAAAAAGAGACCAGCTTACTGAGTTAGGAATCCGGAGGAACTAACTCGAATCGAAACCCGAAGGAATAAAAAAAAACACCAGTATATAGGAGAGGAGTGTGAAAAGCCTTTTTTTGATTGGCTGACGTTGATGGACGTATTTCTATGTCGATATGATTTTCTTTTTGGAATGTCGAAGTGCGTAGCACGACGCTTTCAAAAAGGCGGCCTGACTCGTCCGGGGTTAGGTCAGGGTTGCTGCTTGAGCCGATATGATGCAAAACCCGAAATTGGTGATGAGGACAGTGCATCACAGAAGTCCACCCTTGATACTTCTAAAATGTATTATGCAACTATATCTGAAAAGAATACATCAATGAAACCAGAGCCTCGACAAAAACCCCTCCTTACAAAAATACGTCAATGAAACCTTATCTCACAAAGAATGCCTATTCTATTCATACATATCTATTGTTAAAATCTTGTCGATATTAAATAACCCATTGAGGCTGATGTGCCGTAAAAGAAACCAAAGCAAAATATGCATCAATCACTATATATCCTACATACTCAAATAACTTATTATTTTATTATTTTCCGATAATACCGACTTCTTGACATTTCATAAACTGTTAGGCACTATATATCCCACAGACCGGAATAAATATTATTATTTTTTCCGTTAATATCGACTTCTTGACATTTGATAACCTTCATCAGTCACTGTATAATTTATATATTTTTTTTATTTTCCGATAATATCGGCTTCTTGACATTTTATAACCTTAATCAGCCACTATATAACCCACGTACCCGAATAAATTATGATTTTTTCCGTTTATATAGGCTTCTTGGAATCTTATAACCTTCATAAGTTACAATATATCTTACATCTCCGAATAAATTATTATTTTGTAATTTTACGTCTTAACATCGTCTTTTTTGACATTTTATTAACTTCATTAGTTTTTTCATGTGTTGATTTGGATTGAGGAATCAGAGAGCCGAATTCGAATTCCAGTCGAATCCATTACGTGCTAATACCCTTGGGAAAGGTATGAATCCTCTTCTCCCCTCCCCAAGGAGAGACCGGGTTCTATAGGCTTGGACGGCAACTGGTTTACCTCAGAAAGAAATGGTAACCTACTGCAGGAAAAGAATCTGCCTCGTCAGTCATGTGTCTTTCGATACATAATCGCCTAAGCCTGTATCACGCATGGCACATAACTGACTGAAGCTCTTAAACATCTCTTTTAACACCGGTAAGTATCATTGAGTGTCTGAACATCCGACAAAATATTTTCCTCAATATCGAGCAGGCAGAAAGTCAAATTTTCCTGATTAATCAGGTGGTTTTCTGAATTTTTCTGTCAAGTAACTCCAAACACTTTCCGGTTTTAGTCGCAATATTTGTGAGCATTACAAGCAAGTACGTGACCGCTAAAAAAAACCTTTGTAGAAACGAATGAAATGAACGCGGTAACCTTTTTCTTCTTCATTGCTTGAATTACAAAAAAAAAAAACAATTGAACAGGTCTCAGAGTGATCATAAAATGTTTTAAAAGATCAGACGGAAAATGAAAACTATTTTTGCATGGTTTACACTATTTCGACAATTGTCATCATCTTTGTCGTTGTTATCGCGACGTTTCTGTCGTGAACATGAGTGAGATAGTTATGAACAAACTGAGATAGATAGATATGAACAGACTGAGATAGGTGTGTAACAATAAGTCGTTAGCCACTGCACCACTACCACCACCACCAAGCACCACCAAGTCGTTAGCCACTGCACCACTAGCACCACCAAGTCGTTAGCCACTGCACCACTAGCACCACCAAGTCGTTAGCCACTGCACCACTAGCACCACCAAGTCGTTAGCCACTGCACCACTAGCACCACCAAGTCGTTAGCCACTGCACCACTAGTCCACCAGTCGTTAGCCACCCCACTAGCACCACCAAGTCGTTAGCCACTGCACCACTAGCACCACCAAGTCGTTAGCCACTGCTCCCCTAGCACCACCAAGTCGTTAGCCACTGCACCACTAGCACCACCAAGTCGTTAGCCACTGCTCCCCTAGCACCACCAAGTCGTTAGCCACTGCACCACTGGCACCACCAAGATTACAGCACTTGGTATTTCCAAGCGGTCACCCATCTAGGTACTGATCCGGCTCGATGTTGTTTTTAACTTCGTTGATCGTACGAGAACCGCGGTTTCAAAGAAGTTGCCAACTTTTAACGGATGTTGACGAGACCAGGCGTTACCTCGCCGTTATAAAATATAATTGTGTATGCGACAAAAAAAAAAATCTCGGTAAATTCAACAAATCTTTCTTTGCTTTCTTTGTTTGTTATTAAATCGACTTCTCAGAGTTACTTCCTGCCAGAACCACTAATTGGCCAATTTCAAGTTTACATGACGTCTTCGAGAATTACATTCACACACCGCACACGCAGACCGCACAATTGGATTAACATCGATTGCGATCCGACTGCAGCTACATTATCAAGAACACACAAGCATCAATATGTAACCCGCGGTTATATCAGACTGTTATTAGCAAACATTAAGCACTTAGCTTGTATGGAACAGGTGATCACTCAGATGATTTTTTATGGCTCGGTTGAAATTATTCTGTTACTGAATTCCTAAAGAATAATTGTGGCGTTAAGATAAACGTCATTGCTTATAAATATACAGGCAAACGGTAAGATTGTCATGGAAACGAGGTATGATTGATTTTTTTTGTTTTTGTTTTTACGGCTCATCAACCTTTTGTAGGTTATTTAAAGCCAGAAAATATTTTTAAACTGTAAAAGTCTTTGGGAGATAATAATTTATTGATACAAGCCCCGTTACTTAACCCATAGCGGGGGCAACAAAATGTGGATTTAACACCTTTTCCATACGTTATTTACCCGTAAGTGAATATAACAAACCTGACAGGAATTTGAACTCGGCTCTCTGATTAACAATTCTGAGCCGTTATCCATTAAACAAAACGCACATTCAAGCTTACAGCACCTGGTATTCCCATGCGGTTATCCATCTAGGTAGTTCCTTAACTTCGGTGATCAACGTGATCAAAATACGAAGATGCTAGTTACGAATTGAAAATATGAACATAAAGCAAATGTAGAAGTTTAACTATCAGGGAAGCGTTTTCAGAGACGATGAAATAACGTGACACCGTGATCCAAACAAGCAATGGACTAGTGAAAGAAGCATTCCATATTTTAAGCAAGGTGTTGAGAAACGGAAAAAAATTCTTTAGAAACACACAAAAGAGTACGAGATTGCTGTGTGATATCCATCTTCTTAAATGGCAATGTATGTTTGACAACATTTTTGAAAAAAATATTCCAAACCTAAAGAAAATTAAATTTCGACATTAAATGACCCATAAGGAGTTGATATGCCGTTAAACAAACCAAATCATTGGCAAATACTCGGCAACATAGATACGGCCAATACAGGCCTATTGTGTTGAGATTTTTCTTAGTTGCTGTTGTTCCCAGATTCACCTTGATTCGGAGTTGTAGCACCTGTTAGGGCTCCGGCTATGGGCAAATAGTGAACTCTCAAACGTTATGAAGGTATAAAATTATATTTTAGTAGTAAAATTACTAGCAATACATTTACATAGTAAAAAAAAAATACGTTATTGGAAAAGTAAGAGAAAAATTGCCAGGAATACATTAAAAAAAAAAAAAACATTATCATAGCTCCCAAGAAAATTAAATTTCGGCATTAAATGACCCCTAAGGATTTCATATGCCGTTAAACAAACTAAAACTTAATTTCTCAAATATATTCGTTTAGTCGCGCTGGTGTGCTTATTTTAAATCCCTTGGAGAAGGGGAAGAATTTATGGTGGTTGCGATCTGTCTATTTTTAATAGATATCCGTCGTTCTCTTGCGGTCGATAAGTAGTTTAACAATTCCGTGAGAAATGACCACAGTAAAGATTTTAAAGAAAAGTTAAAAGATTGATATATCTGAAAGTCGCCAAGGATACCAAATGGCAATGAATGTTGGACAATTTCCCCACGGTTGAAGAAAAAAAACTAGAGGCAGTAGAAATGTGGTTCCACAGAAAGATACTGAGAATTCAATGGACAGATCGAGTAAGCAACAAGGATATCTTAAAGAAAATAGCAACAGAACAAACAACAAAAAGAACTCAAAATCAGGAAAAGACAGTTGAAATTCCTTGGACGCATAATGAGAAAGGAGTGCTTGGTAAACTTAACCTTCACGGGGATAGTTTTGAGGGTAGCAGAGATAGGGGAAGGCAGTGAGCCACTTATCTGACGAGCTTGTGTTAATGGATGCCGGAAGAGGGGGTGGGCCTTAACAAAGGGAGAAAATCTACTAAGAGTCACACGAGATAGTTATGAAGAGCCATGACCTCCTAGTTTCTAAAGGAACACAGTACATAGAAGAAAAAGAAGAAAAAAGCCGTAATGCTTGAAGCGATAAATCGTCAGCCTAGTTGAGGTAAAGAAAATAGATATTTTTTATGGAGAGTTTAGTCATAAATGAAGAAGATACTTTGAAGTGACAGTGATATTATTCTTTTGACAGATGCTAGGAATACCATGGACTTAACATTTTAGCAACGAGGAAGTTCTAAAGAAAAGCGCGTTTTAAAAAGACATTCATACTTCAAACTCGGAAAAAACGATTGTAATTTCTGAGAGACATCATGAGGAAAAACGGCTTCGTAACTTTAATGCTCATAGGACTTTTTAAGGCAAGGAGCGGTAGATAGAATTAGCGAACAACTTAATTTCTGTGGGGGGGGATTTAAATATTAGAATCAAACAATTGCAGAAATTTAATTATCTGGGAAATGTTATAACAGATGGCGAAAAATGTGACGCAGAAACCCGAAGCTGTGAAATAGTGAAAGATGCCCCAACCTCAAATAAATAAAGGGTTAAGAAAAAAAGAAAATTTTGTAAGAAACAGTGTGCTTAATTGCTTTCTAATATAAATCTTCTTACATGGCAAGGAATGCTGGACAATTTCTTCACGAATGAAGAGATTCAAAGAAACACAGATGTGATTCTACAAAAGGATATTCACAATAAAATCGACAGCGTATGTGAGTGACGACTAAAAAGATATTTATACCGACAATCAAAAAAACATACAGCTGATTTATTTGTACTTATGAGGAAAACGAGATTGGGTCACTCACAATAGGAGAAGAGAGCTCGGGTCACTCATAACAGGGAAAAGGATCTCGGATCATTCATAACGGGGAAGAGAACTTGCGTCACTCATAATTGGGGTGGGGGGAAGAGCTTAGGCCCCCGACAATGGAGAAAGAGAGATTGAAACACTCATAATAGGGAAAGAGAGCTTCTGTCACTCATATTGTGGAAAAATATCTTCGGTTCCTGATAATGGAGGAAGAGAGCTTCAGACAATCATAATAGGGAAAGAGAGTCTGGTTCACTCGTAATGGGGAAAGCGAGTCTGGTTCACTCGTAATGGGGAAAGCGAGCCTGGTTCACTCGTAATGGGGAAAGATAGCTCGGATTTTATAGGGGAAAACAAATTTTGAGTCACTCAATGAGAAAAGAGAGCTTGGAAAATTCGCAATTCAGAAAATAAGATTGAAACAGTGATAACGGGGGAAAGAAAGCTTGAATGAATTATAATGAGGTCAAAGGGTTTGGGTCACATAATATAATGAAGGCAAGAGAAGATGAAAGCAACGAGTAATTTATGTAAATTGATAGCAGAGCACGAACTGCGAGGGATAGTTGGGGGAAAAAATTCCTTAGTACAACAAAAAACGGGAAGCTGTTAAGAGCCATAATCGCTACGTCCTGCATGGACACGGCGTATAAATGACTTTCAGACACGACCAATTGAAATTTTTCGTAAACACATCATCCTTTGTACCCCTGACTAATGTGAGTCTTTTTATAGTACCACCCAGATCTTGTTTTGCCATCCGTTCACACAAACTCGTTAGGCAGGTGACTCGATTTTTGCGGATTTTAACATTATTCTGATTGGGGGGCGATCCGGATCCTTGAATGTCTCTTGTTCATGTTATGACTCGAAAAAACACTATAAAATTCACTATTTTTTATCCATAATGTTGAATAAGTTACAAGAATAAAACTTTTTAACAAGAATAATCTCAAATTGCCGCAAAATATTGTTGATTTATTTAAGATGGATGGATCTATTATGACATGTCTCTAAATTGTATCTATTTCCAGTTCTTCTAGTTGAATTGTGCACCTACATTATATATGATCCATTACTGAACATAATTAGGTTGCAATTAAATTTGCCTTTTATAGGAATACTATCTTATCAAAATTGAGGTGTAGTAGAGTAGAAGGGGCGTATCATAGGGCCAACGTGATAGTTTCACCGGCGCTGTACATAAGAGGATTGGTATTACGTAACAGTTCAACACTCTTTTCTCTGTAACGGTGAACGATTCCACTATTGTTCCCAAGAAAAGTCATAGCTATACAAAAATATCTACAGTGAGTTATAAAATATACATTACGTGCGTTTAGTAGAAAGAAAGTTCGATATATCTTCATAAGTTTAAAGAAACAGCCCGCGTGTAAATATATGTTTATAGAACGCGATTTCACTTTGAAGAATATTGGCATGAATAGTTCCAAAATAGAAATCGCGAATTCAGGCCCGTGAGAGACTTGGAGTCTTGGCGTAAATAAATTAGCATTTGGGACCGACAGCATTTCACATGCCTGTGAAAGGTGGATTTGATTCGCTGTAGAGTTTCGACGAATGTGTTAGTCCTGATTGGCTGATGTATTAACGTCACGTGATTATTTATATCTTCCGCCGCGAGGAAAGTTGGCTCTCTGTGCCGCGCCAGGAATTTTTTCTCTCCGGAATCGATACTTCAAATATACAAATCAACCATTCGCCCTTTGGAGTATTGCCATATATGGGCTGTTCTGTTTACCCCCGGAGTTCTTGACAAGATCCAGAGACGGATATGTAATATAATTGGCCCTGATCTGGCGTCTCAGTCACTCTCTCACAGACGCGCCGTCGCCTCTCTCTGTCTTTTTTCTACAAATACTTTCATAAATTACTCCGAGGAGCTGCTTTCACTGGTTCCCAGACTCCATGAATTGCGCCCTACGAGGCTGGCATCCTACCCCTTACACTGTAGAAACTTTTAAATGTAGCCGTCTCTTCATATCTGC